TTTTTTTTAAAGCAAAATTGGAACTTGAACAGTTTCTTGAAATTTTGTTTGAAGTTCAATTTTTTTTATCAAACATAAAACTTAAATCGTATTAAGAAGTTGTAAACTTTCAGGAAGACACTCCCTGTTATCAAACTTATGGATTGCATAGGTTTTATATAACATGAGGTTTTGCATGAGGAAGTAAATCAACACCATGCTCCCTCAGGAGCATAAACTCTCTGGACTTTGATGGGAGTGGGATGGTTTTGCATGAGGAAGTAAATCAACAGCATGCTCGCTCAGGAGCATAAACTCCTTGGACTTTGATGGAGTAGAATAAAAGCCATTTTCTTAACTATTGTGTGGGACCGTTGGGCCTTGGCCGGGCTATCACCCTAGCTAAACGGTAGAGGTCAGACCTAACCCACCCTTGACCGGGGCCAAAGAGGCTCTATATCCCAGGCCAGGCCCTAGCCCGATGGTGATACATTGCCACCCCTACCGGAGGTAGGACCTGTGCTTTATACATTGGATGTGAAGACTCAATAGGTGTTAAACAACTCCAAATCCGAAGACTCAAATAGGTGTTGAACAGCTCCAAATCCAAGTCCTTTTTGCTCATCTCGTGATGCCCGAAAACTCCAACGAAAAGCCTAATAAGGGGGTTTTGCTTCAGAGTGCAAATACAATTTGATCCCGGAGGTACACAATTCTCTCTCTTTCTCGTGCTCCCTAGAGTCGTTTCAGCGGGTGAAGGGCCACAAAACTGCTCTTTCTCTCTCTATTCCACAACGACAGTAGTGTCTCTTTCTCTAATTCTTAGGGCGAGGGGCACTTTCTCTCTGATCCCCTCCGCATTCAGATTAGGTAGGCCCAAGCAGTCAGCATCAAAGGGTTGGTGGTTTCCTACTTCTTTTCTGGCTTTTGCCGCAACGTGGTTCGTTCCTCCTCCCTCGGGGCGGCGTTTTTCTATTGGAAATGCCTCTGTCAAATCATCTAATTGTAGAGAGAGAAAGAGAGATGCACAATTTCCCTCTCTTAAAGTGCAGCCCTTTCCAGTTGTAGAGCCATCGCATTCCTGAACCAGGAGGGACTGTTCATTTCTTAGAGGGAGAGAGTGATGCGTTTCAGGGTGGTATCTGAGAGCAATAGAGTTTTGTTTTTGTAAATGGAGAAAGGAGGGGTTTTTCATTTCTAGAGAGAGAGAGAGAGAGAGAGAGAGAGAGATGGGGGGTTCAACGCGGCAGCTGAAAGCGATGCTCCGGAAGAATTGGCTACTGAAGATTCGTCATCCCTTCGTCACTGCAGCTGAGGTAGAATTTCATCTCTTCATGAGTCCTTCTGACTCAATCTCTGTTTAGAAAGGATTTTCTTCCTGTTCCAATTTTGAAGAAATTGAAACCTGAACTCAAAATTGAGGACCCATTTTTGGTGTTTCTTTCTCCTCCATTCTATATGCTTGCTGTAAACTTGGCTTATTTTGATGAAAATCCATCAATACTACTGGTTTTGACTGGTTTTCACTCTTGTGATTAACTCTAGCTTGGTCTTCATCACTCATACTCCCTTTTCTGTTTCTAAAGTGATAACTTCCCCTTCCAATTTGAGCATGTTGAATCTTGTATCCAGCTATGGTGCTTGATTTGCATGTTTTGCTCTTCTAATGTGATTAGTTTGGTGTGCATGTTGTTTTCAGGTTTTACTCCCGACGGTAGTGATGCTGATGTTGATTGGTGTGAGGACTAGAGTTGACACACAGATGCATCCTGCACAAGCGTGAGTTTATCCATGGCCTCCTAAAACCTGTTCTTATGATATTTACCCAACTAGAAGCCTGTCCATATGATTTTCTTTTATTTTTCCTTTTCTTTCTTGGTTCGTTCCCTGCTTCCTTGAACTATCTCTTTTTAGAGTCCAGATGATTTGATGGATTATCCAGTTTATTCATTTTATTTCATTTTGACTTCCATATAATTGAGTTATTTATTATAGTCTGGGATCTTTGCCTTCATTTGCATCTTTCCAGTTCTTTAATGGTTCTCCCTTAGGTTGCTCTTTTGATTCATCTTGAATTGGTAGGATACCCTGTCAAAAGAAGGAAGTTACAAGAAAAATAACCAGGGATAATCTTAAGCTAGCAGGATGCCCCCAAATCCCATCCTATCCTTGGTGATAGCGGACTTATGTAATGGTTGAAATGACCATAAGATATTCCCCCCAAATGATTGCGAATCTCTACATCAATAAAAAGGAACAAAGTAGCAGACCTTTGTGGGGTCGTTTATTGCCCAAGAATCCGTTAACCTAAGTTTGACTAACTTCTCCCATTAATACAGTTCTTAGAATTGCTGATGGAGTAGATTAGATTCCCATTGGATTCAATTTGGCTTCTACCCATGCAGAGGAAGTATTCCTAAGAGTCTCACATCGCATATCATGATCTTGCACCTATTTTTATGGATGGGTCCAAACAAATACCTGGCCTTACATTTTCTTTTGAATGACCATCAAAGTTGATCTTTAGAACACCCATTGGATGAGCACTCCCTTACATGAGGCCTATGGTCTTCTATGGAAAGGCCTAACTTTAGGTGAAGTTCTTCTTTCCACATCCTCCATGATACTAGATGTCATGGACCTTCTACCTAGTATGGACTTGATGTTGAAAACTGAAGTTTAATAATCATTTAGTGTCCATGAAGACAGTTATATGTGTCCTCTGGGTGTGTAAAATTCGAATCTAACATATTTGTATAGAGTGCTAGACTAAATCATGTGAAGTTTGTGACTCATACACATGGGAATATGTGGCCTTGGCTTGTGTGTGATCACATAAAGATGTTAAAGGGCTTTGCTTGATGCCAAACATTATTATATGGCCTCTAAACTATGGGTCTAGTTATGAAAAGGACGAACCCTTACTTTGGTTCTATGCATCTAGTCCTACAAATGAATAGTGTGCTAGAAGCTCGACTTGTATCATTGTAAAGTTTAGACTGCAATGTCCCTCTGTTTTTTTTTTGGGGGTGAGTTAGTGGGGAAAGGGCTCCTACCATTGGTAGGAATTGAGCCTAGGACGTAGAGTTGCAAATCGTCAAGCGCTAACCACGTAAGCCGGGCTGTTTTCCTAGTGTGCCTTTGGTTGCCATTGGAATAGTTCACAATCCCATTGCAAATAGGGCTTTCTGGTGGTCTTTGACATGTTTGTTGAAATAGATGTTAATTCTCTTGGGTCCTTGAGTTCTCCAAAATGGTTTGCAGGAAATACAATAATGGTTTATTGATTTGGAGGACTTTCAAATGATTCAAAAACCTTGTTTTTGTTGGCGCGTGTGCCCTTGAGGGCCTCACACTGCCTTCCTATGTTCACGAGAGGAATCCTATGGCAGTTTTTGCTTTCTTTCTCATGCGTATTCTTTGTTAAAACTTTTCTTAAATCATAAAAATTCTCTTAAATATAATATGTAAATTAATGATTATTTTCTAAAAGCAGACATATGAAATGAGGATAAACTTATTCTTGATATTTGGGAAGTTGTTTCTCGTAGATCCGTTGATAAAGGAATGTTGGGCTCCTTTTTTTTTTCCTATATGTAAGGGAGGTTAGAGAGCAGGGAAAAACACATTGAAAAATTTATAGTCTCTTGTGGTTTTAGTAAGCTACTTCTCTCTCTCAAAAAAGTTCTTTAAAAGAAAATCTAGGCTGTGTGATCACCAGCCTCACGGCACACCCCTTCTCATATTTGGGGCTTGGCGCTCATCCTTGCTCGCACCAAAATTAGCTTTTACTAGTATCAGAGCCATCAAGATCCTTTTTTTTTTTTTCTTATCTTTGCTCTCTTTATATTATTTTTTGTGATTAATTTGTTCTAACCTTCTTGTTATTGGAAAACTCACGTTTATGTGCTCTCTGTATTATATTTTCTCAAGTTGAACCATGAAGAAGAGTAAGTAATATCCTATTCTATATTTTACTGACTTTTGAACCAAAATATGCAAGACGCAAAGAATCAGAGGGTTGTTCTTTCTCTCCACTTTGTGTCCTTACTCGCAATCAAGCCAACAAGAGCTTTTTGATATTCAGGCTATTTTGGTTCTACTTTGTGTGATAGTTTCTCTCATAAAAAAAGGGGGAATTATCACAACAACACCTTTGCTTCCTTTGGCTAACCAATAACCAATAGTTTGTGATGTGTTCTCCTTTATTAATTCATTTACTGTAACTATAGTAAAACAAGAAAGACCCACCTACCAAGGAGTTCTCTCTATCACTCCTTCAAATGCCCGGTGCAACAAAACAAAGGGGAGAGGGCATCATTCCTAGAGGGAGGGTCATCTTCAACTTGCTGTGAATTTGCTGCCAACCGTCCTGTTAAAACCCTTATTTCTATTATTATAATTTTAAAAATAAGGGTGGGGGGAATGCAAAATGACAATTTCGTAAATTTTTCTTTCTTCTAAGATTCTTACTGGTCAAAATTTGTGCAATAAATTGAAGATACTTTATTAGAATATGCTTTACTGACCATGATTTTGTATGCATGAAAAGAACTTCAAACAAAGAAGAAAAAGGGGTTTCCACAAAGGGAATTATTATTTTTTCGTTGTGAAATTGTCACCTACTTTGCTTGGGAAGGGGTTTTGTGACTACGGAGGTATATATATTTTTTTCTCCAGTATGCCCTTATTATTATTGTATTATCCTAGGTGTAATGCTTTGATTGTTGATAGAAAATCATCTTGGTGCAAGAGAAATGAATCCTAAATGTGGATCACTCAATTTTTTTTTTTAAAACTTGAAAGTTGGATTTATTTATTTATTCATTTGTTTATATCGTGCATCTATTGACCTTAGTATTTACCATGCACACACATCTTGTGGCTTTCTCTTTATAACGGGCATTGACCACACATTGATTTCTTTTGGTGGTGTCTCGTTAGTTTTTTGACAATTTTATTTTATTTAGAACCTGGAAACTGCTTAGGTTGCTCACAGATAACTTAACAAGTCCCATGGCTGGTAGAAAAATTAAATGGGACCTACTATAATATGTGGAAAAGGAAAATGGAATATCTTCTTATCCAAGACATGAATATATATGTGCTAAAAGATGACCCACTAGTAATTAGCGATAAACCCACTGAAGAAGAAATGAAAAGTTAGAAAAATTCTTAGAAGATGACCTCATGGTTAAGACATCGTTGCTAATATTTATGCAAGATGATCTTACTAGGGTATTTGAACATTATGACACATTTAAGAAACGGCTCCTAGAGTAATACAACTCCTTTAAGATGTAGGAGGCAATGTGGTAGACCATATAAATAAAATGCTGGTCATGGATAAGGACCTAGCTACTGTTAAGAATGAAGTTCCTGAGCGCATGCAAGTTTCTACAGTTCTAAACAGTCTTCCACTTCATGAAGGATAATAACCATAGTGCGTAGGTTAGTTGCAATATCCCTTACTTTAGGGGACTTTTTTATACCATTGGCCTTAGAATAAGAACAAATAGACAAAGATAAAAGCAGTGAGCTCGTGCTTGCTTAAGGTCCTCCCAAACATAGCCAACCTAAGCCTAACGACCAAAAATTTCAAGGAAATTTTAATAAGAGGGACAATAAGTTAAAAAATAGAGGAACTAAGCTCCTCTTAGAGATGTCGAGATCCATGATGGCTCATGCTAGTCTACTCAAGACTTTTTAGGGAGAGGCATTAAACACAACTATGCATATACTTAACAGGGTTTTGACCAAGGCAATGGATACTACTTCTTAGGAATTGTCGACAGGTAGAGGACTTGATCTAAGCAACTTAAAGAAATGGAGGTCATTAGTGCATGTTCTAATCCCACATCAGTAATGAGATAAATTAGAAAATAAAACCCTACTTTGTAATTTTATAACATACCCCCAAGGTTCAAAGGGCTATAAGTTTTATTATAAGGATAAGGGTCTCATTGAAAGTAGAGACCCTGAGTTCCTAGAAGAACTTAATATAGAAAATCCACCCATAGAAGACAATGATGATCCACTTAATATTATAGGTGATTTAGCACCATCACCGACCGTGGATATTGCTGACCATAATCAACATGATGCTTAATGGTCAAAAGCGGTCTAGAGCTCCTCTATTATATCTTGATGACTTCTATGTCTACATATGTGAGGAGATAGAGAACTGTATTGATGTCGACGACATTGATGGTCCCTTTGACCTCAGTCATGTGTTGAAATCACAAGAATCTCGAGAATGGTTTAATGCCATGAGAGAAGAAATTGATCCAATCGAGAAAAATAAAGTTTGAGATCTGTGTGATTTACCTTTAGATATGAAACTTATAGGTACTTAAAAAGAAGCTAAAATCTGATAGTTCCATTGATAAATACAAAGCTAGGTTAGTAGCGAAGGGCTTTACCTAAAAAGAGGGAGTTGATTATGTTGACACTTCTTCCCCTATTGCAATGTTTATATCCATTAGAATAATTTGGCAATCATTGCTCACTATGATCTAGAACTTTACCAGGTGGGTGTAAAGATTGCATTTTCAAATGGTGAACTAAAGGAAACAATTTACATGAAGACTTGAGGGCTTCATAATTAATGGCCAAAAAGATAAAGTATATAAATTAAATAATGAAAGGTGGACTATGTGACCAGGCAAGTCAATACCAATTAAAATTTTTCTACTTTTTCTTATTGTATTGCCACTCGAATCACTCACAGGTGTCTGTATACAATATGAACCAAATAAAATTGCCAAGAACTGTCACTTGCTTGAGATCTGGAAATGAAAGATGCAATGGAATAAAGAGAGTATAAAACAAGAGAATACCTTATACCTTGTCTTAGGTTATCCTCTAGGACTTAGCACACCCCACAGTGGGTCTCCTCCACCAATGGCTCATGGGATCTTTGTTCAAGATCTCATCGTACAACTTGGGAAGCCTAGGCAAAAAAAGCTCCAAAGAGCATAACATAGGATATCCCTTGACCAAGGCTCAACACATGAGCATAAGGTCAAGACCTTGGACTAGGCTTGACCATGTGACTTGGGTGTGCCACCCCTCAGGGTTAAATTTCTTTCCTAAACCCTAAACTTTAGAGAGAGAAGGAGAAGTTTAGAGAGGGGCGTGCCACCCCTTAGAGTCTCAGAGAGAGAGAGAGTTGAGGTGTGTAAAGAATGAACCCCCACAGCTAGTTTATATAGAACAAGGCTAGGGTTTTTCCATCATTATGAGATTTAATCTTGACCTTTGATCTTGGAGACCTGTGGAGCGAAGAGATATCATCCATTCATTCCTTAGTTCAACATCATGATTAAAGGAATGAGGTGGAACCATTATCCTTTAGTTTCCATAACTCCATTCCCATCAAATATTGTGTAGAGAAAGTAATAAATTTATACTAATTATTTTCTTACACTTTCCCTTTTGAATGAGGTCGAAATCTCTACACAAAGCATTTTCCTAAATACTCAAAACAACCCATGGCTTAATTGCCACAAAACAAAATAGGAAAGTTTGGAGGAGGTGGGGTGTACCACCCATGGGTGGGCTATGTGGGCCCCTATGCCCCACATATTGGTGGACCCATTGAGTCCCATTGGTCCCCCAATAATTAAAATAATATTTTCAGATAATAAAATAATTTTATAAAGTCTCTAAATAATTTATTTTTCTCTTTGATTAAAATAAATCCAAAAAATTGATTTTTCCTTATTTAAAAAATAAAATACCTAAAGAGATCTAAAAATTCATTTTAATTATCTGAAAATTAATTCACGGTGACACGTCAAGCTATCGCTGGCATGACACGTGGTTGAACTTTGTGTTGCTGTATGAAGCACACAACAGACTTTCGGGGACAAGCCTGACACGTGCAGAAAGCTTTTGCCGGCATGACATGTGGATGAACTCTAGCAATCTTTCTCTATCTCTCTAACTATCATACCATCTTTAAACCCTAGAAGGGGGCACGCCCCATACTTGTTATATTGTTAGAGGACGCATGCCCCACTTAGAGAAAAGAAGAGAAAGGCCTATGTTTTGTTCCACTTGCTCTCATATTCTTGAGGGGTTTCTATCCAAGGATTCCCATACTAGTGAGATCTAAGAAAGACCTTGATCCTGTATGCCATTGGAGGAGGAGACCCGGAGTGGGGTGTATCAAGTCCAATTGAGGTAATCTTTGTCATCTCTTTCAATTTATTGCACTTTATGTTTCTTGTTCTCAAGTTGATGTTTATGTAAATAATTAATTATTTTCTAAGGGGTTTTCAAACAGTCATATGAGGATAAGATATCTGGGAGATTTTATCTTAGAGATCCGTTGAGAAAAGGAACTTTTGGGCTACCATTTCATTCCTATATATAAGGGAGGTTAGAGAGTAGGGAAAAATTTACAGTCTCGTGTGTTTCGGAAAGTTGCTTTTCTCTCTCTAAAAAATTCCTGAAAAGAAAGTCTGGGCTTTGCGAACTCTAGCCTTGTCAGCATGCCCCTTCTTAGATCTCGGCTTGGCACTCATCCTCGCTTGCACAAAAATCAGCTTTTAGTTTCATGTCCAAGGGAATCTTGGTAAATTTTACCATTTCATTGAAAATATTTTAATTTATATTGCGGTGTTCTAATTGAATTTTCCAAGTTATTTACTATGTTGTTTATCAATTTTCCCCCTTCCAACAGGAGTCTAGACTTCTACAAAGTCTAGTAGAGAAATTATATGAGCTAATTAGGCTTGTTTTGTGTGCTTATTTCTTTCCTCTTCAGATGCGCTTCATGATATATTTCTCTATGTTGTGATTCTAGGTATATACGTAAGGGCATGTTTGTTGAGGTGGGTGGAAATGATATATCTCCTAGTTTTGATGTTCTTCTTAAATTGTGGTTTGCCAAGGATGAGCACTTGGCATTTGCTCCGGATACGTCACAGACTAGGCTGATGTTAAATGTTTTGGCTTTGAGGTTTCCTCTCCTAAAGGTATTGCATTTGTTTCTAGTTATCATATATTTCTCAATTTGCTTAATGTTTGTTATTGTATTGCTTATTATTTGTGATCTTGTCCTGATGCATTTCTTGTAATGTCCATGGTTATAGCTTAAAGTTCATCTATTGATTATCTGAAGGAACTCACAAATAAATGTTTGTCTTACTTTTTCTCATTGTTGTTGAGTAATTCGTAATCCATGTGTCTGAATGTCAAAGTTTCCGCATTGTTAGTTTTTGGGAAAAAGGAAAGGAAAAATAAAAAATAATGGCATTGCCACATTGGTGTCTTTGTTTTTCTCTAGTGGAGCAGAAAATGTTCCACACTGAGGTTATGCATAGTGCAATATATGTATTGTTAAGTGCCCATCTTCCAAGATGAAAATCTCATTAAGGGTCAAAGTTTCTATGTTTTTTGGTTGTAGTGATCATCATAGTCTCCAAATGACAGTGTTTCTAGGCTTTATATTCTTGTTTCTCTCCATGCTACATTCGAGGAATGACACTTTTAGGCTCCACCTACTTCCTTTCAGTCTAGGAAAATAATTCACAATATGAACTATGATATCACACATTGCAGCATTTCAAGTGCAGCCCTTAAGCCACTCTGCTTGTGCATATCATCATCTTTTAAAAGGAAATGAGAAGTGGTCCATAGAATGAAGATATTGGACATGTTTACTTGATTGTATCTCAAACAATATATTTCTCTATTTTCAAGTTTTCAGACTTGTGTTTGATATCCTATTCGAAATAATGGGTGTCATATGAGAAATCTGCTATGGGGCATGGTTTATTCTTGTTGAAGATTGCTATTATATCCTTACTTGGTTAAGGCTAGGAGCCTAGGACAAGAAATGGTTGAATTACTTAAAATCAACACTTGGGACATTTTTCCAACTTCCAAGGCACAGAAAATAATTGTTGTTGGATTCCAATGAGTATACTTAGTATTAAGTGAAATGAAAGGTAGCTGGAAGCTGCATTGAAATGCATTTAAGTCATGACTGGTTGCAATGCATTACAGTCAACAATATTGAATTGATTTTGGTGATCGACTTGTGCTCCATTTAAGTTGTGTGATTATTTGTTAATACATGTGATGGTCTATATAGATGAACTACTTTGGCTCAATGAAGGCAAAAAGAGAGAAACTATGCATGTCAAATGTGATAGATGGTCTCATGCTAGCACCATTTGCATGATTGTTTTTTGGTAATGAAAGGTGACTTCTAAATTAATAAAATAAAATGGAGTACAAATAACCTGACCAGGATGATGAGGAGATCCCACCAACTCAAAGAAAAGAGAAGTATACAAGTAAAAGGCAAGTTCAACGCCAGGCAATTAAAAATTCCATCTCTAGTCCTGCATTGGCCATTTGATCAGCGTCTTCATTGGCCTTGCATAATATATGTGAGAAGAGGGCTTTGTGATCTTTGGAGTCAACACCTGTGCCATAATGTGCCAGACTCTCCATGAGGTTGAGTCATGCCCTGTGCCCATTTAATGACATTGAGACAATCCTTTTTTACGATGAGAGGAAACCTGTCCTTACTGCAGCCGATCCTCAGCCTCATAAGGAGGTCTTTTGCCTCGGCTATCATGGAGTCACATACTCTTGATGGTCTAAAAGAACATATTATTGTTGCTTCCATGTAATCTTGAAGAATTCCTCCCAAATTAGCCTGGTGGTTTATCTGTGTCAAGGTGTATAAATTCCCATTTGTCATTAAATGCAGGAATGGAAGTATGATTAATTGCACAACTATGTTTACCCCGATACCAAAAACATAGTAAGTACCTTCAACTAGGCATAGAGACTTATTATTTGGGCGAAATATAGGCGTATTATTTGGGCATTATAATAGCTTGCAAGCACAAGGTTAGACATGACTTTTGGAGTCGATCAATCCTAGCGATGTATGCACTTATCTGCGGTTAGCTTAGAGGTTGCAAGTAAATACTTTGCTCTTTCAAAGAATGGATTTTATTGGCTTGTTTAATCTTCTGAATCTCTCCTGGAGATGCTGTTACTTTCTTGGATGCAGTCTGGGCTGGTGTTCTTTCATTAAGAGAAACTGGGCATAATTCTTGTTCATCAGAATTAGGAATTTATCCCATATATATGCAAATGGGTAGGCATACAAAGTACATAATACCCCGGTACAAATAGGGCTATCTATACTTAACTGAATTGTGTACTGTGGTCTCGATTCCGGTTCAAAATCGCGATTCTGCTTTTCCAAGAAGCAATCATGATTCTTGGAAGTCAGGAATCATTATTCCAAATTTCTCAAATTGATGGGATAGCGATCCCAACGATACAGGAGCCATAATTCCTATTTTTTGAAACGCGATTCCCATATTGCAGGAATCACATGCTACATGTGATTTGCATTGTACGGATGACGATTCCAATTTTGGCGATCATTTGGCCACTCCCGATTCCACGATTCCGTTTCTTGACGAATGAAGAGAGGAGTAAAAGGAATAGAGCTTAGCCCAGAATAGAAGAGGGTGACTTGTGGGGAGGGATTGGGAGAGGGAAAGAGTAGGGAGTAGAGTGTATATAGAGATAAGAAGCCAAAATGGTTGGATGAAGAGAGAGAGCTGGAGGCAGATGAGTGCACATGGAGGATGGGGGGAGGGATTAAAAGTAGGGAAGAGAGAGAGAGAGAGAGAGAGAGAGAGAGAGAGAGAGAGAGAGAGTGAGAGAGAGAGACGAGA